CCGCGACCGATGGGAGCGTTTAGAAATGGCCTTGACGATCAGGCAACAATCAATGATCGTTTCCATGTTGGCCTCTGGTCTGGAGATGGGGGGGGTCAAATTTAGAACGCCGCTTGATCGATGCCCTCCCGAATTACCACCAAGGCTCTGAAGTGTGCCGCGGAGGTGCCCAGGAGGCCCCAAGAGCCCCCCCCCAGAAGTCCCCAACAGGCGTCTAAGAGACCCCCGAGAAGCCTCAAGAGGCTCCGTCGAGGCACCCAAGATGCTCCAAGAGGCCCCCAGGACCGCCAAGAGGCGCCCAAGACGCCCCAAGAGGACTGCAGGAAGCTCTCAAGAGACATCCGAAGAGACCCTGAGAAGCATCCAACAGGCTTCTGGCCCTTCTGCTCGCCGTCTTCCTCCGCCTCTCCTCCCCCTCCCCTTCCCCCTCCCCCTCCCCTCCTCCTCCTCCTCCTCCTCCTCCTTCTCCTCCTCCACTTCCTCCTCCTCCGCCTCCGCATCCGCCTCCTCCTCTTCCTCCTCCTCCACCTCCTCATCCTCTTCTTCCTCATCCTCCTCCTCCTCCTCATCATCATCACCATCATCATCACCATCACCATCACCATCACCATCACCATCACCATCACCATCACCATCACATCATCATCATCATCACATCATCACATCATCACCATCACCATCACCATCACATCATCACCATCATCATCATCATCATCATCATCATCATCATCATCATCATCATCATCCTCATCATCCTCATCATCCTCATCATCCTCATCATCATCATCATCATCATCATCATCATCATCATCATCATCGCCATCATCAGCACCATCATCAACATCATCAACATCAATATCATCATCAGCATCAGCATCATCATCATGTCCACCACCATCATCATCATCATCATCATCATCATCATCATCATCATCATCATCATCATCATCATCATGTCCACCACCACCATCATCATCATCATCATAATCATCATGGTCATCACCACCGTCGCCACCACCACCATCATCATCATCATCAGCATCCTCATCATCAGCATAACAATAACCACCACAAGCTCCACCAACACCACCACCACCACCACCTGCATCATCATCGTCATCATCAGCATCATCATCATCATCAGCATCATCAGCATCGTCAACATCAGCCTCGTCGTCCCTCCTCCATCCTCCCCCCCTGTCCCTCCTCCTCATCCTCCTCCTTCTCCTCCTCGTCTGATTCCTCCTTCATCCCCCCCCCCTCTTAGGAGTTTCAGCCCTTGATCAGGGCAACTCGTCTGGGCACCGTTTCGGGGTGGGCTGGTGAGTCCATGCGAAGCTTCCATAATTGTGTATGCATTATTTTATCCTTCAACCCTCTACCGTCGAAGATCCTCCACGTCTGGGGCAAGCAGTAGCACCGATACCGCTACTCCCCCGACCTTTCCCAGGGTTCGTTCTGACCCAGATTCCAAGGCGAATCCAGCGGTGGCGACGAGGATCTCCCAGGAGGCTGGAGAGGGGAAAACGAAGCCAGAGTATCGGTATGGGTACTTTTTCCTCCTCCGATCCTCGGCCAACAATTTCGACGCACCGCGTCGCACTAGCGAATATCGTATTGAGCAAAGACCGAGCGTTCTGGCTTTCCTATAAGCCTACCACGAAATGTTCTCAGAACAGGCGAACTCTCTAATAATGCACATGCTATTAGGATAGAGATCCGATGCATTGAAACAACACCTTGTTAACAATATATGTTATAAGAACATGTCGGGCAACCACACAAGGCTTTTGGAACATTCTTTAGTGGGCCAACATAGGCAAGCCAAATCGCTTCGACACTGCTCGAACCGTAAGCGCTCGACGCGCGGCCGCGGCCACAGGGACCGCCCCCTCCCGCGCGGCTACGCCGGCTGCGGGGGGGAGGGCGCGGGAGCGGCGGCCGATACCCGGGGCGGGCAACAGCCCGTCCAGGGTAGGAACAACACGGGAGGGAGGGGGGAAGGGAGGCTACGTCGGGCGCTGGCGGGGCTGGGTTTGGTGGGACCTGGTTGAATGATGTGTACCGGGGAATGCCCCCCCCCCACAGTGCCAACAGACCGAAACTGCCGTGGCCCGACGTTTGGGCTTCGGGGCCCAATCACTGACAGGGCCCACTCAACGGAGGTCCTAGCTATACCCGACGGAAAGAAAAGGGAAGAGGGGCCACGGTAGGTTCGTGCGGCGTCGGCGCGCGCAAAAGTTTGTGACACCGTGTCGATGGTTCAGCCTGGAATCGATCGCGGCCCCGATCGATATCAAAAGGTTGAATTTCGTCGAGTCCAGTGGCGTGACCGTGTCCATCGGTGCTGGCGCGTCGCAGAATTGTACCTCGCACGCCTTCGCTGGCGTCGCCGGCGTCGCCAGCGCGCCAACGCCGCAGGATCCTGACGCATCAGGAGGCAATTTCTGTCGATGAAGAAGACATGTAAACATAAACTTTTGAGGGTCCGCGCGGGTGGCTTGCATCGGCGCTGGACCCTCTCCCTGGCGCGCGGAGCGCGCCAGGGGCAACGCCGGAGGCGCCACCAGGGGGGCCCAACGCCAATCCTAGAAATCAGGGAGGGCAACAGCCTGTCCCAGGTGGGCAACAGCTTATCCTGGGAACAGCACTAGAAAGGTGACGAGGCACACCTGGAGGCCTCGCGCAGCACCTTGAGACCCAATGCACGTCGGATCCACGAGGGCTGTACGTCGGCTTACGCCGGAATTGCGTCGGATTTGCGACTTACGTCGGAACATCGCCGAGCGAAGACAGGGCTGATGTGCGGACTAGGAGAAAATACAACTATTACGCGCCGCTCGAGGTCTCCGGGATTCCCTTCATAAATGAAGGAAGGGGGAAGAGGGAACATATTAGGAGGCAGCGTCTGGGAGGTATTTCGATTGTGAGCTATTCAGCCCGATGGATGTGGCATTACGCCAGTTGAAGCTCAGCAGTCAGCCAGGATTGAAGCCCAGGATCAAGCCAGGATTGAACCCAAGACTTGCCAGGATTAAACAAGGATTGAAGACCAGGATTAAGTCAGGATCGGGTTAGGATCAATCCAGACTTGCCCTGATCAAGTCCAAAATTACGCCATATTAAAGCATGCTCAAGGTAGTGAAGCCGAACTCTGCTGGCTTGGGCCAGATTTCGACCACGGATCTACCAGCGCCGATGCTGAACTTCACCTCCGAGGAGCTGCACCCAGAAGCATACTTGGTCCAGAGCTCTGGTGCGTACGCTCAAAGTCTGAAGGCTGCACAGTGGCTCTCAACCGCCTCCAACTCCACGCTCTTTCACCTCGTTCTCCTCATCATCCCTCATCTTCCTTCTCCACCTCCACCTCTTAATCGCCATCTGATTCGACAACATCATCATTAACACAACCACCACCGTCATCATCATCATCATCATCATCATCATCATCATCATCATCATCATCATCATAATCATCATCGTCGTCGTCGTTATCACAATCAGCATCATCATCATCATCATCATCATCATCATCATCATCATCACCATCATCGTCATCACCATCAGCATCATCACACTCATCATAAGCATTATAATCCGCATCATGAGCATCAGCATCAGCGTCATCAGCAGCATCAGCAGCATCAGCATCAACAACATCATCTTTAACATCCTCGCCGGCATCCTCATCATTATTATGATAATGATTATGCTCATCCTCATCCCCATCAACATCGTTCACATAAGGGTCGTGATCCTGGTCCTGATCCTGTTCCTCCACTTCCTCATCATCATCATCAGCATCATCATCGTCATCACCCCTACCATCATCCTCGTCGTCAGCATTGTCATCACCATCACTATCATCATCACCATTCCAACCACTATCATCAGCATGATCATCATAAGCATCATCATTAACATTGTCGTCGTCATCATCAACATCATCAACATCAACACCATCACCGTGATCTTCACAACCAACATCATCACCATAATTGTCATACTCATAACCGACACCATTACACGTCCGTCCGATTCGCCGTCTTTTTCTTCCTATTCCTCCTGCGTCTCCTCCGCCTGCTGCGCCGTCACGTCTCCGTCCTCCTCCTCCTCATCATCATAATGATACTACCTATTCAGAGATTGCCCTCCTCCGCCTCTGTACATCTTCCACCTCGTCCTCCTCATCATCATCATCGTATCTCTCCTTCTTCCTCCTTCCTGCTCACATCATCCTCAGTCTCCTGCAGCGTCGTCTCATGCTCGTATTGATCACCCCCCGCATCCTCCTGTTCCGCCTTCACCGCCTTCTCCACCTCATTCTGCTTCTCCTCCCTTCATCTCATCCCGTCTATTCTTCCGTTCTTCCCCTCCTCCAACTCGTCCTCCTTCTCATCCCTGCTCATTTTCCTCTTCCTCCGTATCCTCCTCCATCACAGGTGTGGCATACCAGGCATACCCATCCCTCCTCATCCCCCTACACCCACACTCCCAGAAGTGAGGGGGAAAGAGGAGCGGGAGAGGCAAGATGTGAAGGGGGAGATGGCTCGGGGAGAGGGGCTGAGAGCGTGGAGGGATAGAGGGGGGAGGAGCAGAAGGGGGAGGGACAGAGGATAGAGGTAGGAGGGACAACTTTTTGAATAGGAAGTGGTGGGAACGAGCAGGCTCGACAGCAGCCCTCGGCAGCGGTGCCTGCAGCCGCCGGCGTGAGAGCCCGGTTGCAGCCTCGCGAGCCGGCGGACTACGTCATGGCCAACCACTGGCTGGCCTTGGCCCCGCACTGGTCCGACCGGAAAACAGCGGGCATCCAATTCCGAGCCTCGCAAGCTCTGTACCACATGGCCGTGAGCTCTCGGACCGCCAGGCGGGCCGGCCAAAGGTCGAACCACCTCAGAGGACAAATTCGCTACAGATGAACTTCTCCCTCTTCTTCCACTCTCCTACACCGTTCCCGTGTCCTCCATACGGGCCCCTCGTCCATCCTCCATTATGATATAGCCTCCGCCTCCTTCCCTGGCTCAAGGGTCAGGCGGCGCCAGCCACCGCCACGTCTGCAGCCTGGCCACAGCCAAGGGGGGGCGCGCGGGCGGGCGTAGACGAATGGAAGGAGGCAGATAACCGGGGACGCCATGGACAAAAGACGCAATCACAAGCCTTGGATCGAAGTTTCGTCTCGGCCGCGGCGCTTCTACAGGCCAAGTCTACTTCGATCAGGCTCACCCCCTTTGTTGGGCCGAGAAGGGCGACGAAGGGGCAACAACATCACCAGTTCATTCACGGTGCCCCGCCCCCCACCATTGCCGCGATTTCCACGGGTTTCAAAACGCACAAAATTAATGTGGTAGCGTGAGCTTCTGTTCCTCGCACGAGAAATGTTTTTTGTCTGTCTGACCGTCAACACACAAACTTACAATACAATATTTAGGCCAGCGCAAAACACAAGCAGCACGTTTCTAGCAACATGATGTGCAATCGACGTGGAGCAATACATGCCTATGTTGTGCACTCGATGTTGTGCAATCTATGCTGTGCATTTTATGTGTATTCGGTGTGGTGCAATATACGTGGAAGATCTATAAGGTGCAATCTGACGTGATACAATTCAGTTTGAAGGCTTCGCGGGTGGCATTTCCACTCATCGCGCAATCGCCCCACCCTCCCACCCGCAAATTGGTTTACAACGCCCATGCAGCGGCGATAGCGACGATTCCTTGGCACTGGCGGGGGCATTTCTGCAGCTGTGCTAGCACACGCAAGCTCGCGCGCAGAGCGCCCAGCTGGTTTGGCACAACCAACGTGGTGGCGTTGGAGCTCACCGCTGGAGAGTTCCCAGCTCGTCTCACAGCCCGCGCCGGCGTGCGGACACTTCTGTGCGGGTCGGTGACTCGGTCGGCCGCGCTATCATGATGACTTCGGCACCGCCGGACACGATGATGAGAGTAGCGATGATGGTGACGATGACGATGACGATGACGATGACGATGACGATGATGATGATGATGATGATGATGATGATGATGATGATGATGACGACGGCAAGGCCAATGACGGCGCCGATGCTGATCACGCCGATGAGAATGATGATGTCCATGTGTCGATGATGCAGGTTCGGGAAGGACTCCGACATGAACGCGGGGCCGACGCGCGCGAGTGGCCCGCATGGTTTTATTTGACTGGGATCGTCCCTCCCCGCCCTTCCCCAACAGCAAGCGTGAAAGGGCCGTGACATGATTGCGACATGCGCGCGCGAGAAGCCCGCGAGGTCTAATTTGACGAGAATGTTGAACATCGTGAGGTGTTCGTAAGAATTCACAAGGGCGCGCGCGCAGACTTCAGTCGAACAAAATTTCGACATGCGCGCACGACGACGCGTGCGTGTGGACTTCGTCATATATTCTGCAAGAAGGCAATATAATAATAATAATAATAATACGGATAATACGATAAAACATTCCACAATAATGCTTGTTGATTCCTACTTCTCTTCTGAAGAACATTGATTGTCGGCCTGTCTGTTCCGTGCTCGCCGTCGCCGCCCCGTCGCCGCCCATTGATTGCCCGCTCTAGGAGAATGTTGGGATATCCCTCCATCATCCCCGCCCTTGGACTGATTTAATCTACATAGAATCCTGCCCCATCAGCCATCCGAAATTTAAGTTTTCACAATCCCATGCAGGCGGGATCGGCCTCCCATTCAGTTGTTTATCATAGTGCCCACGCGCGCGTCGTCGCGCGCGCATGCCAAAATCCGTTTGAGAAGTCTCGGTTTCGCAGAGATCTCAAAGTCGGCTGCCCCGAAACATGTGTTTATAACAAAGAAATAAAGAAACATATGCATTCGCAACGGGGATGGTCAAGAAATGCTGGCGTCCTGGCTCTTGCAAATTAGAAATAAAACCATATGTTCTTCAACATCTGCACAAACTAAGGAATCAAGCTCTATACACACACTTGTTCTGGCCCCGCACTGGACCTCGCACAGGAGAGCGGATTCTGGTATATACGGGGCCCTGGTGTATACATATTTCGCCGTTACCCCTGGAAAACGGGAAAATAGTATACACCACACCATTCCGAAGTCGTCCCTGACCCTCAAACAATTCTGGGATTGAAAAACATGATCGACCCACGAACCCAGAAAGGAGTATAAACATGTAACGCATGGCAAGATTTTCAACTACACCTGATTGGGTGACGGGCAAATGCAATGCTGATTGTATCGATCTGATGTACCGTGCCGAGGGCTGTGCTGTGCTGCACCGTGCTGAATTGCGATGCGCCATGCCGCGGTTGTGCTCTATAGCGTCGTGGATCGAGTCTTACTTTGCATCCGAGTCCTGACCGAAGTGATCTGGATCTTCAGCTCGAGCTGCCTGAACACATAGTAGCAGCCCCAGAGCTAATTGACAGGGGGACACGCCAGGAGGACGCGACGCGAAACGTCCCAAGGGACGCGCCAGGCGACGTGCCAAGGGACGTGCCATGGGGTCGCACCGCGGAACGTGCCAAAGGGACGCGCTACGGAACGTGCCAATGGATGTGCCACGGGATGTGCCAGGGGACGCGCCGCGCGACGTGCCAGGGGGACTCGCCACGGGACGCGCCACGGAACGTGCCAAAGAACGTGCCAAATTGCAATGCTGAATGTATCGATCTTGATGTACCGTGCCGAATTATGTGCTGTGCTGCACCGTGCTGAATTGCGATGTGCCATGCCGCGATTGTGCTCTATAGCCTCGTGGATCGAGTCCTCCTTTGCATCCGAGTCCTGACCGAACTGATCTGGATCTTCAGCTCGAGCTGCCTGAACACATAGTAGCTGCCCCAGAGCTAATTGACAAGGGGACATGCCAGGAGGATGCGACGCGGAACGTCTCAAGGGACCCGCCAAGCGACGTGCCAAGGGACGTGCCATGGGGACGCACCGCGGGACGTGCCAAGGGGACCCGCTACGGAACGTGCTGGGGACAAGCGTTTCGCTCGAGACATCCTGTCAACATCCTCAGAATTCCTGCGCGCGGGACGCGGCACGCGCGAGACATCCTCTGAATTCTTTCGAGCGGGACGTGAAAACAAGCATTTCGCCTGAGACATCCTCTGAATTCTGGACCCCCACGAGGCCCCCGCTCGAGACATCCCCCAATTTTGCAAAACCAGCGTTTCGCTAGAAACGTCTTCAACAAATTACGAAAGACAAGCATTTCGCTCGAGACATCCTGCCAAAATTCAAGGGAATCCTGGCAAAACAATCTAATTAGTCGAGACATCTTCGAAATTCCTGCGCGCGGGACGCGGCACGCGCGAAACATCATCGGAATTCCTGCGCGCGGGGCGCTTTTCCGCGTCGCGGTCGGCTCTGCAAAACCAGCGTTTCGCTCGAGACATCCTCAACAAATTTTGAAAACAAGCGTTTCGCTCGAGACATCCCCAACTTTGCAAAACCAGCGTTTCGCTCGAGACATCCTCAACAAATTCTGAAAAACAAGCGTTTCGCTAGGGACATCCTCAAACATAATTCCGCCGGCCCTCTTCCCGCACGTAATTTATCGCAGAATAATTCCGCCGACCCTCTTCCCGTCGATTCCGGGGGCAAACTTCTAAAAGAGAACCCTGGGCTCAAGCCCTTTCCGGGAACAGCCCGCCACTGGTATTGTATGTGTTCCAATTTCCGACAAAATTCTACCAAACGCGCCTCTCGCGCGCGCGCATGTCGAAATCGCTCGAACGCCCTCGCGCGCAAGCGTTGTCGCATAAGTTCCGTGCAACAAGAAAACGAGGCGAAAAGCGCACGCGCGCGTCGTCGCACCGCATGCGACCTTTTTCAAAATAAAAATTGTGTCGCAAAGGTTTTCCAAATTGAGTGCCGCGAACACATGTGAAAACGCGTGGCGTTTACAACGTCAGTTTCCAACATGGTCGACCCACGAACCCCGGAAAGGAATATAGAAATGTAAAGCATGGCAACGTTGCAAAGACACCTGATTGGGCAACGGGCAACGCAAAGCTGAGTGTATCGATCTTGATGTACCGTGCCGACGGCTGTGCTGTGCAGCGCCGTGCTGAATTGCGATGTGCCATGCCGCGATTGTGCTCTATAGCGTTGTGGGTCGAGTCCTCCTTTGCATCCGAGTCCTGAACGAACTGATCTGGATCTTAAGCTCGAGCTGCCTTAGCAAATAGTAGCTGCCCCAGAGCTAATTGACAAGGGAACGTGCCAGGAGGACGCGCCGCGAAACGTCTCAAGGGACGCGCCATGCGACGTGCCAAGGGACGTGCCACGGGGACGCACCGCGGGACGTGCCGAGGGGATGCGCTACGGAACGTGCCAATGGACGTGCTATGGGGCGTGCCAGTGGACGCGCCGCGCGACGTGCCAGGGGGACTCGCCACGGGACGCGCCACGGAACGTGCTAGGTTACAATGTTGAGTGTATCGATCTTGATGTACCGTGCCGAAGGCTGTGCTGTGCAGCGCCGTGCTGAATTGCGATGTGCCATGCCGCGATTGTGCTCTATAGCGTTGTGGATCGAGTACTCCTTTGCATCCGAGTCCTGATCGAACTGATCTGGATCTTGAGCTCGAGCTGCCTCAGCACGTAGTAGCTGCCCAAGAGCTAATTGACAGGGGAACATGCCAGGAGGACGCGCCGCCAAACGTCCCAAGGGACGCGCCAGGCGACGTGCCAAGGGACGTGCCACGAAGACGCACCGCGGGACGTGCCGAGGGGACGCGCTACGGAACGTGCCAATGGACGTGCCACGGGACGTGCCAGGGGACGCGCCGCGCGACGTGCCAGGGGGACTCGCCACGGGACGCGTTCGGAACGTGCCAGATTGCAATGCTGAATGTATCGATCTTGAGGTACCGTGCCGAGGGCTGTGCTGTGCTGCGCTGTGCTAAACTGCCATGTGCCATGCCGCGATTGTGCTCTATAGCGTTGTGGATCGAGTACTCCTTTGCATCCGAGTCCTGAACGAACTGATCTGGATCTTAAGCTCGAGCTGCCTTAGCACATAGTAGCTGCCCCAGATCTAATTGACAGGGGAACATGCCAGAAG